TTTTTTAAATACAACTTAATACCTAGTTGCAAGAAGAGTCTACTCATAGAATATATATATATATATATATATAGACATATATATATAGACCTACAAAATCGTAAGTTTACATGAGAGGCAAGGGTTAAGATGTTTTTCACCTGAACATGGAGCATCTCATATGCACCTCTCCGGAATATTAATCACTAATCCGACTCCCATCCCGGAATATGTGTTTGTGGAGTGATTTCGTGGCTTTGTCTACAATAGGCGCAGTGGACATCCTACTGAATCAACAGCAGAAAAAGTTCATGACTAACTATATTTGTTTAGTCGTGTGACGGACTTCTGGCCAAAATGATCAACTTTGGCTACACGAAACCAATGGTAAGATTAATCGAGTCTTTTCTAGCTGACAGGCGATGCCGCTGCAGAGTAGGACAAGAACTCTCGACCATGCGATTACTGGAAGCAGGGGTTCCACAAGGTGCAGTCCTTTCGCCACACCTCTTTTCGTTATACACAGCAGACGTGTCCAAACTGGACTACAACTTTAACAAGTTGGCGCTCTACGCGGACGACAGATCTGCTGGCGATATCAACAAGCCAAGCGCACGTCCCCAGATACTTGCAGCAACAGGCAGATAGATTAGAGGAATCAGTATAAACCCTGAAAAGTCAGGCAATACTGTTCACCCGGAAGGAAACGTCATCTTCAACGGACAAGAGATTCCGTGGACCAATGAAGCTAGATACTTGGATACCGGAGGCACTCGTCTCCGGTTAGCTTTTGGGGACCCCATGCATAAATTCAGTTAGGAAAGTCAAGATAAAAGCAAATAGATCAGAAAGCAAAAGCACCTAAAGGCTGACTTTCGACTAAGAGAGGTCAGATGTCAATCTTGCTGAAGTGCCCATCAGCAAGTTGAGGACCGCTCCGGAGGAGCGGGTTTGAATGGACGAGATGGAATGTTCTGCACACAGTAACCGTGTGGAGAAGATTTCAACTCAGAGCACTCAACCAGGGAGGGGGCATGGGGGGTTTGGTCGTGATGCTTAGACGGTTCACTCCGTTATGAAGAGACCATGCCCGGTACTGATGATGGGCAAGTACCACGAAACCGGTGAAACGGTTAGTCGTATCGACCAAATGAAAATTTCTTCTTTTCATAGTGGGAAATAACTTGCGACGAATCTTCCAAATCGAAGATGTTGCACAGGTGCCTGATGGTTTTACTTCAGCTTTCTGCGCGGCATTAGCTGGGTTAGTTGTTGTTTTTCCGTCAGGTATCTGCCACACTTACCTACAACGTCGTAGATCTACATGAGAGGCAAGGGATAAGGTGTTTTTCACCTTATTTCAACTTATTTATTAAGGGTTTTTCGACAAAAAGTTATTTTTGATAAAACTTTGTGCATCCCTTAAAACTAAACATGCACCAACAAAATACAGTACAACACACGTAATATACGAGGAGCCTTCAAATATTTGATTTTGTGACAAGAGTAAAGTATTCTTATTTTGAAAAATTTCGGGAAATGTTATTTAGAAAAGTTGTTCAGCATTGAAAAATACATCTAGATTTGAAGTCATCTAAATGAAGTTTTATTTTTTTACCCATTTTTTTTGGAGACTACGAAAAAAAATTGCTAAAACGATAAATAGACAGCATCCTGTATACGACGGTTTATTTTGAAAGCCT